TCTCTCTCTCTCTCTCTCTCTCTCTCTCTCTTTCTCTCTCTCTCTCCCTTCCAGTAGCTGTATGTATTAATTACAACTAACCAGGGATGGCTCTGACTGGCCAGATCGAAGCAGCCCGCCATCTGAAAGATGTACATCATGTCGTTATGTCGACATGGAAGCGTAGAATATCTTTACAATGATATCGACCTTTACATTTATCGATCGATCTGATACTTTTGAAAAAGATAAGCTTTCAAATTTCTTTTGGAAGTTTCTAAATCATAGATAGATCTTAGTTCATTAGGCAATACGTTTCATACAGATGGGCCAGAGGATTTGAAAGCCCCTATGCGGCAATTCTAAAGACATGTTCGTGATGTTGAAAGTAGATTTGCATCAGATGATCTTCTTAGACTTCTTAGTGGATGGTAAGAAGAACATAGATACCCCTGCTAAAGCATTCAAACATAACGTTCCATTTGAAAGACTATTAATGAGAGAGCGGGCCTTTATCAGCTTGACTGGAATAAAAACACAAAAACAGAGCAAAATCTAATGAAAGTACAGGGGAAATAGTCTAGGTCCATGGACTCCATACCCCTCTTCCGCCACCACAAAAGCAGAGCTGAGTCTTTTCCGCAGTTTTTGTTTTGTTTTTTGTTGTTGTTGTTTTGTTTTTTTTGTTTAAGACACCCGTTGTTGTTGGTGTTGTTGTTGGGGTTGTTTGGTTGTTGTTGTTGTCGTTTTTAATGATCTTTTGTTGTTGTTGTTTTCGGGTTTCTTTTTTTGGTTTTTGTTTGTTAGTTTGTTTGTTTTGTTTTGTTTTTCGTTGTTGTTGTTGTTGTTGTTTTTAACCCCCTTCTGCAAGCACTAAATTCCATGAGTAGAAGAGAACAAGTCACGATATTTCGCCTGCGAACACAACACATCTCTCTAAATTCCTACCTTAATATGATCCGCAAGGATACCCCAACCGACTGCCCGTTGTGCGACTGCCAGGATGAAACAGTACCACGCCACCTCTTTAACTGGGTTACTGCCCTGCACTTTGCGACCTGCGTAGCACCTACCTTCCTGCCTCCCCAGACATCGGAAATGCTCTATACAGCGACAAAGCACAGCTGATTAAAACCTGTAAATTCTTTGCCATTTCGACAGACCGAAGGGCTAGAACCCAAAATGGCCGCTGGATCGGAAAAGTAAAGTAAAGTAACCCCCTTCTGCTCGGAGTCAGCTATACTGGAAAACAAAGAAAATAAAAACCGGTAGAGGCGGATGTGCAAAGGGCCGTAGTTTGGACTTGTATAAGGCGGCAGCGTTATATATTTATTGTCTTAACACCTCATCGGCCCAAAGGTAGCCTCTTATTCATTATTCAGGAGAAATAGTAATGTCCCAAACGTATGGTCTCATGTCCAAACGCAAAAAACCGTGTCCGTATGGTAGTCATATATTGCAAAATCTGGGAGTATTGGTACCTGGGAAGAAGCGGGAGGGAGGGGGGAGGAGGTGGGGATGGGTCGGAGGGAGGCAAGGGGTGGGGGGAGGGGGATATCGCGACATATCAGACTGAAATGAGTTTGTCTGAAACAAGCTAGGTTTAGCCAGGTGAACTGCAGTGTAGTAGCTTTTGCCACTCTTAAGTTGCTACAGACGATTGTTTTTTAGGATGACATTTACTACTTTCTTATGTCTTATCATTGTGGGACATGTGGCATCTTTAGGCTAATGAGTGCCGGAAAATGTCGATTGCTACCAGAGCAATGAAGGGAAAACAGTTCTGCACTTGCTTGCTTCATCTTGTAGCTGCTCAGATATATAATCTTTGTCTATATGCCACAAATCTATAATCTTACCTCCCCACTCCCGTCATGAAATTATTGTCAATGCATACTCCTTTCACTTTCATCTGATGATATCTTCTTCATCGTGTGACCATGGTTTTTTTCCTAAAGTGATTCCCTCGTCTTCAATACAACTTGACGTTCATGCATCATAATGATACACCATCTGCATTATGTGAAACTCGTTGAACAAATTTTGATCATGACCACCCCCACCCCACTCCATCTTCACTACGTGACTTTCATTCATCAGACCCTCTTCACTACGTGACCATACTTTACTCTACAATGATTCCCCCATCTTCACCAGGTGACCATACTTTACTCTACAATGATTCCCCCATCTTCACCAGGTGACCATACTTTACTCTACAATGATTCCCCCATCTTCACCAGGTGACCATACTTTGTCCTATAATTACTCCCCCATCTTCACCAGGTGACCATACTTTGTCCTATAATTACTCCCCCATCTTCACAACGCCACCCTTGTTTATTTTACAATGATTCTCCCATCTTCCACATGTGGTTCTAGATTACTTTACAATGATACCCCAAAATTTACCAAATGATCTTCTACTTCTCCTAGGGCAGACACAGCCCGGCCCACGACCACCATGCCAGACTTGAGCGTGTCGCGACAAGAAGTCCTGGCCAGGCAACTGAACAAGCCTATACCGGTCAACGGCATCCAGCCGCGAGTGCCCCTGGATTTTCAGCATGACAAGCAAAAGCTGACCGTAGCCAACAGTCTCTTCCAGTGCGTCATCAAGGGAAACGTCAACAAGGTAAGTTGCAATAGATGACGTTTAACACCCCCCCCCCCCCCCAAAAAAAAAAATATTAAAAAAAAAAAAAAAAAAAAAAAAAAAAATATATATATATATATATATATATATATATATATATATATATGGAGGGATATTACATTAAAAAATAATAAATTAATGAATTAATTAAATAAAATAATAAGTAAATAAATAAATTTAAAAAATGTTTTAAATAAATAAATATTTTGAAATGCAAAAACGAGTGTCTTTTGGCTGTATATATTAGGCTCCCCACCTTTAAAAAATCAAAAACAAAAACAAAAAACAAAACCCAGAGAAGTGACACAAACGAAACAACCAAATCGAATATACAGGGTGATAAAAAAAACTGTACACCTTTTTTCTAAATATCTTTCTCAAAATTTGTACTACAATGTTGTAACTTGGAACAATTATAATTCATTCAAAAGGGATTTGTTTGACATAAAATTTGCAAAGAAGAAACTTATTTTCGAAAACGGAAATGACTTTTATTTTTTTTTAACACCGCCTATAAATGCAAAATGCGCAAATTTTAAAGATCCTTTAAGAACGGTCATGTTATGATTGGCGTGTTTTTTCTCCTTTCCTTTCATTTTAAAAATCTAATCTTTCCATCTCTGTAACCTTTAAACAGCATTTTTTTTTATCCTACAGCAGAGTAAGCTTTTTTTTATATTCTGGAATTCCGTGAACCAGTAGTCTATATTTATTATTATGTCCTCCTTTGGACTCGACACATTTTAACGCGTCGTTCGTAATGTTCAGTGGTGGCCAAACACAAAGATCCAGTCAACCATGAGTACTCAAAGCCACACACAATGTGCACTTTACAATATGGAGCTGTTTCTAGAGACAATAGGGGGGGGGGGGGTATGGTGATGTTGCCTAAATAGACAGCATGTGGAGCTGATATAATCTGAAGGTGAATATGGGCTTTGCCAAGAAACCAAATGTCATAGACGAAATGTTCACGCTTTTCAAGGAGATCGAGGAATCATGAACAGATTGCTGTCCTCTGACAGCTTCGCGAACAGGGAAATAGTACAGTAGTAGATGAATGCGGACTGTTGAGATCATGTAGGAAAGTCATTGCTGTAGACATCGTCTATGGATAGACGTCTCCGTGGGATCATCTACTGAATTCTGCACCCTGGTGACGTTTAAAGGGGTGCGAGCGGTGTGTGTTTGACCTGAAGTGGTCGTTTTGTCTGGGAATTTTTAGTTCTGATTCTCCACAGGTCCTAACTGAAGGACCATTTCTACTCTTGACATCAAAGGAGGCATTTTAACATTATTTCCATACGTCGTACGAAACTTACGAAAAGGGTTGGTGAAGAAATGCTCAATACCAAAAGTTTTCTGCTCTTTATTAATCTTAACCATGATCTCAGCAGGCAAAGGAAACTTGAGAAAAACTATCTACAAACTTCTGTTGGCCGGTTACACTACTGTAGTTTGCAATATGGCGCAATCGTTGGGACTTTTAGAGGTAGGCCTTTTGCGAACTAGTGCGTCATGCTACATACATGGGGGCATACCTGAACATGGGTTGAGGGGGGGGGGGTTTACGCGCCATGTAGAGCAAAACTATTTTGTGGATTTATCTAAACTGAATATCAGACAAATTCCGTTTGACTTCCAAATGTTGTGTACAAATTTGAAACTCAAAACTTCTGTGTGGAGTAAAATAGTGACTTAAAAAGTTGTACAGTTGTTGTTGTTGTTTTGTTTTTTTGGATCACCCTGTAATTGATGGCTACTCTTTTATATTTTGTTGACATCAGTTCAAAATCACAAAAAGTAAACAATTTCCTCAAAAGCATACAAACGTGTTTGAATAGACTGTTGTAAGCCATGTTTAAAACTGTACTCCACAGCGATATAATGATCGAGTCTAGATCATTTAGAGATCTATTATCAGCAAAACCATACTAAAAACCGTCACGGCGTACGTCTCAGGATTTTGAATCATGACGCTCTAAGATTTAACCACGATACTCGTGCTTTTGGTTTTTGTCCTTTCGCCAATAAATGTTACTATATTATTATTGTAGGTAATTTAGCAGCAGCAGTGAAAAGACTGCTTTTTCAACATCTTTCTAGCTGTCGTTTTGAAATCAAGATGACGGCCACAACAGTGACCTGAACCAAAGGACATGTCGAAATCTACAGGTGTGAATATTATGCTCCTTCATTTTTCGTTGTCTTACGTCAAAAACAAACGCTTCTCTAGTCTTCTTTTCAGAAATTCGTTCAACAATGGCTCATGCCATTCAATGACATACCAACTGCATAGCATATCACGTTGTGCTTCGTAAGTCTACTTTTGCTTTTACTTTTTCATTCTCTGTTGCTATTAAGCGTTGAGTGGAGATGCAGTTTTCTATGGTAGGCCAGCTCCGCAGCTCTTTCAGTTGAGATATTATGTTTTCTCAGGGTTTCCTTGACACCATCAATCCACCTTTTGCGTGGCCTTCCTCTTCCTTTATAGCCTGAGTGCTTGGTGTTGTAGGCTGTCGGGGCTGGCTGACCTTGTGACATACGTAACAGGTGGCCAAACCATTCTATTCTGTCTTTCTATGTAATGCAGGCAGGACTCAATGCCGATAGCTGCTCTTACTTCTTCATTTCTCCGCCTTGTGGTGTTAAGGGTTTTGCGGAGACATTTCATTTCGCATGCGGTGATTTTGCTTTCGTAGGTTTTACTTAATGTCCAGGTCTGGCACTGATAGCATAATTTTGGTATGAGTATTGAGGTGATGAGCTGTTTCTTTGTGCCCATGGAGATGTTTGGGTGAGATAGGAGCCGTGCGAGCTGGTAGATGACAGCGTTTGCTTTTTGGGTTTGCATTTCTATTTCTCTGTTTTAGTAAATATCCCAAATAAATCGAAATTGGGACACCACAGAGAGCATGACGATTAACTGTCCTTGTGTTCTCTAGCTCTGTCACTTTCTAACCTAGCTTTAGGCCTGGCGATTCTGAGCTGCTGTCCAGCCATATTTCCCTCTTTCTGCCTTTCCGTCAAGCTTTTGATGTGTGCCCAGTAGGACTGTATTGTCACTGTCGAGTTCGTGTCATCATCAACCTTTCTCATCTCGAATCGGATTATAGCCACCAACAAAAGCTCTCCATCTTCTTCTGTTCGAGCTTTGGTTTCCACCTCTGTCTAACCTCATCTCCCTTTTGGTCCGAATCTGAGTCCCTCTTCCAAAAACTTTTAGGAATGTTTCTCCTTTCCTATTTGTGGATTCCATCTTTAAGTTTGGTGAAGTAGCGTTTGTTTTCGGTGGTGTTTTCAAGGTGTGTCCAATGCACTTTTATCTTCTGCTTCCAATTTCTGTATCTAGATCTAACTTCAGTACATTTGTTTTCTCACATTTGTCACGATCGTGTAGGGACCCTATACCACCTTCAAGTTACAATGCTTCAATATTGCCTCTACGCCTTTATTTGGCCTGCTGGACCAAAACCTGATTTAGTTTTTATTGCTTTGCTGGGCTAATGTAGCATTTGAAGACGACATCTGGGATTTTTATAAAGTACCACATTTCTTGGGCTCTTATCCTTTCTTTATCTAAATGCCTGCCGTAAGAGTTCGCGATTCTCACGCATTCAGGAGTAGCGCATCAGCCTGGTCTTTGAGTTATGTATGTGAATTTTCGTGTTTTCATAAGCTTATTATTACCAAAGTCATGGTCTTCAATGTTGTAAATGCTTAATACCAATGTTTTGCTATACGCGAAAAAACAAAAAAGCCCCCCCCCCCCCAGGAAATAAACAAACAAACAAACAAACGTACAAACAAAAACATAATATAAGAAACAAACATATTACCGTTACTAATTGCCAGTGTGGCGTCCTGACTCTTAGCTTTGGTTTATAGTTTATGTGACTCACTCAGGGACACACTTCTATGATCAGCCACCCTTTATACACTTGACATTTCTTGACTTGTTCGAGTGACCGAGTGCCCTCACCACTTGACCCAGCGGCCCGGGGGGGCGTCGCGCGTTTTGGCGAAACCTTTAATTCGTTTTGGTAATGCTTTTTACCGCTCTCGCAACTACTTAAGGTCATAAAACGTTTAATTTTTGTTTCTATTCCAAGACTGTGGGTATAGCCAGAAACGGACTGGGTTGGAAAGTCTTAGTTTTAGTAAGTTTTACGGCACTTGCAACATAATAAGGTCACTCGTAAGTGCCGAAGATTAGAGGTGTTACAAGAGAGAAACAAACATAAAATAGAAGGAGAGATCAGGACGATAGTTGTTTGATAGGAAAGAAGGAGCAAACCACACCAGAGGACCCGCCAACCACCACGGCAATTCTTAATGTCAAAGGACCAAAGGAAAACCAAAAGGAACATGACGAACAAAATCGTGAAGACAGATGCAAGGAAAGATGGCCAGACTTGGACGTAGCTAAAGAAAGATATACAGGACAGACACACTTTGGAAAGGAATTGTTGGTAGCTTGTGCTGAATTTGGAGCTAAAAGGCTGTGAGAGGAAGGGACGGAGAATAGAGAGAGAGAGAGAGAGAGAGAGAGAGAGAGAGAGAGAGAGAGAGAGAGAGAGAGGGAGGGAGTGAGTGAGAAAGAGAGAATATTCCAAGGACAATTATATTGAAGGCTGGAGAAAATTTGTGTTAGCTCTTGTTCCGGGTACGCATGCGTAAGAGACATTATTGATTTAAGAAATATATCATACGGCTTAACGGAAATGCACACCCGGGTGAGCATACCGCACTTGTAAAGCCCTATTGATCAGCAGTTATTTCATGAGGCTCGAAAGGGATGTCGTTGTGCGGAAAGCACTATGCTGACCTGGGATTTATATTCATTTCCCTTGTCCCACCCTTTTCTTTTGCTGTTTTCATGATTAATTCGGTTGCCATGCCCTTGAGGAGAGGCCGCTCGTGTGGGATTGCGAGACCTTGTTTGGGTGGCACTACTTTTTGCGTGGTGATAAAAATGTTTGGCAAGAGTTTTATGGCGCTCACAACTATATGAGGTCTTATAAGCGCGCATGAGAAGTGGGTTGATTCACGTAAGTTCACAGCATAGCTGGGTTTTGTTTTGTTTTGTTTTTTGTTTTTGTTGTTGTTGTTGTTGTTGTTTTTGGGTTTTTTAGGGGGGGTTAACTCCATGAGTGAAGATAAGAATTTCAGTGTGAAAAGTGCAAAATTAAAAAACTGTTGGTACGTTTCATACGAAAAACATATCTGAACAAGAATAAGTACAATGTATACACTCTTGGTGAAAAGACTCTTTGACAGTATGTAGGTCTACCTCACGAAACAGGTGCCCCACAGCTTTAGTTATTAGCGGCACAGGTCAACCAAAATTGTTATAGATCTACGGTCCATCAATAATCTAACTTCAAGGCCTCCGGGCAAATGAGATCATTTTAGGATTATCCCCGATTAACATAATGGCCCCGGAGACAAGTGTTCGTGCCCGCTCAAATCCGCTTCACCGACATTGAGAGTTGCTGAGCTTGACTGTAACTGTAATCTATTTAAGGTTCGTTTCGGGTCGTCTAAAAAAATCCTTCAACTTGACCGCACAATATTGTCCTTATGTTGAACGCAACACATATTTTCCAAACTCGTAGAAGCCAAAGATTATCTTTATCTAGTGTGCACCGATCTAATTGAACAGGACTGAGTGTATTAGTTACTCTGTTACTGTAACATGTTCTTTGGGAACGAGAGAGAGAGAGAGAGAGAGAGAGAAGGGGGGAGTTGAGATAGAGAGAAGGGATGGAAAGGAGATAGAGGTGGAGAGACGGAGGTGATGCAGGCAGACAGACAGACAGACAGACAGACAGACAGACAGACAGACAGACAGACAGACAGACAGACAGACAGACAGACAGACAGACAGACAGACAGACAGACAAACGAAGGAAGGCAGCTTGCAGTGAAATTTGAGAAAAGTTGGAGTTCGTAGAAAAAAACAACAGCCAAGCTGTTTCAAGAAGCTTATATAGATGAACTCAACAAAGAGCGTGGGGGAATCTTGTCGAAGATCAACACTCTCATAAAATTCGCTCACCCCAACACAAAACAAAACAATAAAAGAATCCATGCCACTGATGCACGGAGCGCTCTCAATGCTACTATGATTGATTTTACAAGGCTTGCTCACCTCTCGCCGACAAAATCTAAATGATTTAGGGGGAGGCGGGTTGTTTCGACCTAGCCTGTTTGGTACAAGATGGGCTGAGTACACCATCCAAAGATAAAGACGGAGATGCTCTTGAGATTGCGCTATTTTTAAAAATTATCCACAAAATACGACGTTTTGTGTTATAACTGTCTTCAGTGTAATTAATGAATAATAATGAGGGATTTACATGGATGAAACCATAATTCCTGGACAATCTAGAGGAATATTCTGCAAATGTTGCCTTTCCCCCCATTGTTTTTACAGATTTAGTCAAATGTACACTATGATTCGTAAAGTGTAACATTTTTTCGACCAAAAAAACAAAAAACAATCCAAAGTTCGAAATGCTGTATCTATAACCATGTATTGCAATTAGTGAATAGTCTTCATAGGATTTGTTTTGGACCCACTCCCCCCCAACAAAAAATAATAATAAAGAAATAAAGAAATAAAGAAATAAAGAAATAAATACATACATAAATAAAAATATTTTTAATGAATAAATAAATAAATAAATAGAAATAATTTTTTTAATGAATAAATAAATAAATAATAGTCATAATAATCATAATAATAATCATAATAAATAAATAAATAAATAAACAAATAAATAAATAAATAGATAGATAAATAAAAATTGTGACTTTCCCATTGCAGAAAATGAAAAAGAGAATTTTAGAAAAAGTAATTTAAATAATAATATGCTTTCCTTTGTTGACTAACGTTTTGCACAGTTGCGTGATGTTCTTACTAAATTATGACAAAGAAATAACAAGATTTTTTTTTTTTTAGTTTTAGCGTTTTATGAACACTCGTCTGTTTTTCCTCACCACTCTGTGTCTCTTGTCCCACGGTAGGTCCGCCATCTACTAAGTCGCGGTGCCAGTCTGACCCTGAAGAATGACTACGGTTTCAGTCCGCTGGTGGCGGCGCTTCATGTGGAGGACGAGAACAAGCGGAAGCGGATGTTCGCCCTGCTGCTGGAGAGAGGAGCTTCCTACAAGGCCCGGGACGAGAGGCACGGCCGGACAGTGCTGCACTGGGCATGTCTGCTGGGACAGGCCGAACAGGTAAGGTCAGAAAGAGTCACTTGTGAGATATTGGGCATGTCTGCTGGGACAGGCCGAACAGGTAACTGCCCTTTTGCGGGTACCGTCGAAATTGTCTAAAACGACAATGGTGGCTGTCTTACATAGTGTCATTACATATGTATAAAGTAAAAACTATGTAAGGGAAGGAATGGAAAGTGATCGTTTGTACAGGTCATATACAGGTGGCCGTTACAGCAGGTTCGACTGTATATTGGGCATGTCTGTTGGGACAGGCGAGCAGATGAGTGTCATTATCTTTTATGGGATATTGGGCATCACAAGCCTCTTCTGATTCACTCAAACAAACTGCGTGTCTCCCCTGTCTGGGTCAATCAATCAAACATTCATCTGTTTCACTTAACCAACCACATGTCTACTCCGTGCCAACCAATCACATTCTCATTTGTCTGACTTAACTTACTACAGATATTCTCTGTCTGTCTCAGCAAATCACGTGCTTCTTTATCTGACTTAACTTTCCATAAGTCCCCTCTATCTGTGTCAAACAATCACACACTCCTCTGTCAGACTCAACCAACCACGTGTATCCTCTGTGTCTCTCAACCAATCCCATGTCTCCCCTTCCTGTGCTCCTTCAGGTGACGACCCTCCTGGAAGAGACTGCCGGCGACATGAACCTCCAAGACAAAGACTCGGAAGGTTACAGCGCGCTACACCATGCCGTCCGAGTGGGCAGCCGTGCTATCGTGGACACGCTGGTGGACTATCACGTCCGTTTCGGCATTTCGGTGGACCAAGTGGACAACCTGGGACTCACCCCATACCTGCACGCTCGTCGGTTGGGCTATCGTGACGTTGCGAGCGCATTGAAGGACAAAGGCTTGGCCTCGGTGGGTCATGGTGACAGTTTGTTCCGCTCGCCGCGAGAGTGGTCACAGATCGGGAAGTTTGAGAGGAAAAGGGCAATTGAGCTGCAGACAGTGGAGGAGAATAACGTGGCCAAGATCCTAGGTAAGCCACAGCTGGTCACCTCGCCCAGATGGGCTGTCCCAGGCATTGTCCTACCTAGTTATCGGCCCTCTGTGGACGGGAGGAGAGCAATGAGGGCGGGTCGGAAGGGGCCAGGCATCCGTCATATTTCTGTGTCACTCCCGTCCCTAGCAGAGGCTTGTGAAGCTAACCAGAACGGTGAGGGACGCCCGCTGTCTGCCGGGAGGGTTGGTCCCGATGCCGAGTCAGGGTCGGGGGAAGGCCCTGATAAACCTGGGCCACCCACTCTGGCCTTTGCCGAAGATCAAGCCACTATAGGCCAAGGTCAGAACACCTCAGTTCATGGTCTTAGCATGACCAATGGCTCTGGTTCCAAGTCCTCTTTGAAATCCTCTGACCACGGGAGCAATCAGACTCGACAGTTTTCTACACATGACCCATCCAAAATAGCGGGATCCCAAAGAACTTCAGGTCAACCCGGCTACTCACATCACGGAGTCCCCAACTCAACACTCACTCTGGGCGGACCATCCAACGCACACGCCCTCGCCTACAGTTTCTCTGGGAGAGGTCAAGGACTAATGAAGGGTCACCCTAGTCCCGGGGACAATCTGATGAGACAAGGCGCAGGGGTCACGTTCGCCTCACCTGGGAGAACAGAGCCCAACATGGCGGCACTGACACTTCTGGAGCAGTCGTCATTCTCCAAAGGTAAAACAGCCCAGCACTTCCATCACAGCCAGTTCGACACGTCCAAAGAGGCAGAGTACAAGCACATGCTGGGAAACCTCAGCAGCATCATGGACGTCCTGTCTCAGCAGCAGACCAAGTCTTTCCGGAAATCAGTGGAGGTGAAAAAGCCGGAGACACCGCCCAAAATCAAGAAGAAAAACAAAGTGTCTTCTCTCGCTATCATATTTGGGCGCGGCGGGAGAAAAAGTCCTAAACGAGGAAAGCACGGTAAATCCCCACAGTCTTCTGCTTCCAAGCACGGCGGTAAAAACAAAGGAAGCACTGCTTGCAAGTCCAGCCAGTCTGCAAAGCGGAAATCTGGTCAAGCGGCAGGAGAAAAGAGCATGGGCAAAATGAACAAACTCCCGGTACCAACCATCAAAATAAACTGACGAACAAACTATCGGTACCTACCACCATCAAAATAAATTGACAAACAAACTATCGGTTCCTAACATCAAGATAAACTGACATGCTCTTTGTTAGGAAACGACAAACTTCCAGACCTATCGTTATGTGAGAATAACGTATTTTGTGTTGGTCAACAGGAAACTTTTGATAGCTACCATATCTAGCTACACTTTTATATAATCTTATCCTTGATCGTGCACTCTGATGTATTTCCGGTTCTCTATTAATGCACCATCTGACTCAGTTTGATCCAAATGAAAAGCTAAAATG